ATCGCCGATACGAAAACAGTCCCTAGAATGGGTGTTTTCCGGCTAACTCGTTTCCTAGTTTATCCAATATTTGCTCTAGGTTAGTATCCAACCTTTACATCAATAAAATAACTTTACAAGGACATATTATACACTTGGATTAGTGTACAATAGTCCCACCAATCGTTCATATCATTTGGAAAATGAATGGAAAAGTTTTGGGGTTAACAACTCACTTTAGAAGAGTAAATCCGTTTCTGCGAGGTTGTGTTTTGCTAGGACGATTTGGAAGCCTTCCACTACTCCGATTGATGCAAACCAGACCTTCACGGATTCCTCGTCTTGAGAGCTTTCTTTTGGTATCTCACACGCCTTAATTGGATTGGTATAACTCTAGATATCAACCAAACAGCCTCTGCACTCTCACAGCTCGAGTTTACAGACCACCGCTCACTCCAGCTCGATTTTGTAAGATAAGCTCTCTCTCCTCGAACAAAGGCCACTCAATTGAGATACTAGACTTCAAAGGCTATCCAAGGACATATTATTCACGTTGTTTGGTCGAGTATAGCTCCTATAATGAGAGGAGACAAACAGCACACCAATTTGTGCGAAAATAAGAATGGTGGCCCAAGCTTTGATTCCTATCAAGTCATGTGCAGCTCCCCTCCATCCTGGCCGGCCAAGGTAGGTCTTCTAACCCGTTTTTATTTGTTTTGCAGGTACTAATATCATGTGGAGTGGTTCCCAATTGATCCCATTAAATTTGGGGTCCAAACATCTACCAATACTTCCAAAAATGGGGGAAATGGGTCCTATTGTCTCATCTTTGTCAAAGATGTCTTTTGTACTCATCCTAATTTATTTAGAACAAGTCAACTTCCTAAATCACATTATTGATCTCCAATATGTGTAGGCTCATCCCAATAATTTACTTGATGGATATTATAGAAGGAAAATCCTACTCCCATTATTTAGCTCAATAAGGCCAAAGGTGGGGTTATAGGCATTTGTATTCTTCTTTAATCATTCAATCACTTATTTGACATTTGTCATACGTATTATTGGGCTACTAGCCGTGTGGGTCACTCCCGAGTGGGTCTAGAACGCCATTCTCGAATACTTGCTATTTTTAGCAGGTTGGGCCCAAAAATGTTTGGGCCGCCCGACCTTCCTCAAATTGTCTTGAAGGATTATGTATCACAATTTAGGTAATGTTGGGCTCTTTTATTTATTAATAAGTCCCGAGTAAGTATTTGTGAAATCCGACACTAATGTACGAGTTTGAACAGTACGATATTCAACCATGCACTACGTAGAACATTAATCGTTTTACAAATTGTTTGGGAATCAGAAATCCAATACATAAACTTTGAATATTTAAATCAAGTCTCCAAGGACATTCGGGTGCAGTGTCACATCAGATATGATAGTCTTTTGAAGATGCAATCTTCTATAAAGAATATTGATGATTTTCACAATCCTACCTCTGGTCTTGGATATGTTGGAACAAAGTCTGGTGAGCCTTCTGTAAAGCCTAGTACCCAAGTTGTTAAGGCTGATAAGGTCATAGTGCCACAGACTTCTAGCCCCATCTGTCATGCTAGTACTTCTGGTACTAAGGTTGTACATGAGAAAGTCAGACCAGAGAATCAAAAGCTAAAGGCTAAACAAAAACAAGTTTTGAAAATCAATGAACCTGGCAGAAAACCTAACAATTCAAAAGGTTTTCAGAAAAATAACAATCAAAGTCAAAACTTCAATAGACATTCTCATGATAACTGTATCAGAAACCACTATCAGAAAGGCAGATATCAAGAGAAAGTTAACTTTAGGCAAAAGAGGTTGTCTGGTCAACCTCAGAAGCCCAAAGCAAGACGACTCTCTGCTCTTGATAGCATATGGGACTTCTTTCCAACAAAGAAGGCTATGCAGAAATATGCTAACAGAAAGCATGAGCCTCATAAGCATCTGCCCAAAGTGAATCATACTGCTGTTTACCATGACTACCAGGTGGACAATGGGTACCATCCACCAAGGTTTCACTTGATGAGACCAAAATGGTACCAACTACCAAGACTCCATTACCCCCCAGGACCCAACATAGCTTGGGTACCTAAATCTTCCTTTAAATTTTGCAGGAACTGTGTGCTGGAGCTATCTCTGAACAAGAATGGTTTATTGATAGTGGATGCTCCAGGCACATGACAGGTGACAAGAGTTGCCTATCAGAGTTCCAGAAAATCAATGGACCCCGAGTCACTTTTGGAGGAAATGACAAGGAAGGTCAAACAAAAGGAAGAGGGAAGCTGATCAAGAACCAGATAATCATTGATGATGTCTCATATGTCAAAGGTCTGAAGTTCAATCTGCTGAGTGCTAGCCAGTTCTGTGACAAAGGCTACACAGTTGAGTTCACCAAGACCTTATGCTATGTCAAGCATGAGACAACTAAGGAAGTGGTTCTAACAGCCAAGAGAAGGAAGAACATCTATGTTGTTGATTGGCAAACTGCAAAGGATGGTATATGCCTGATAGCCAAAGAAGATTCAAAGCTGAGCTGGGATTGGCACAAGAAGCTTAACCACCTGAACTTCAAAACAATCAACAAACTGACAAGGGAACCACGTTTAGCGCAGCTTAGCCACCTGAACTTCAAAGAAAGGGGAATACAAAAAAATTAAAAAGAAAGGAGAAATGTTGATAGCCATTCAGCCCACTCACGTAACCACGTTTAGCGCAGCGCAGATTCGCAGAATGATTGGAGCACATATGCGGCTGAAAAAACGGAAACCTATTTATTAGAGCATCTTTAGTGGATTACCTAAAAATGAATTGACACCTCAGATAAGACTTTGAGTTAAATTTACCTTGTGTTGCTGAGTTGGAACGCAAAAAAACCCACACCCTGTGCTCCCCTTCTACTTTCAGCAAGCCTATCCCACACTGTGAGTCAGCGGAAAATTCTTAGCCGCCGCAAGTGAAAGCATTCAGCCAAATCTCATAATTGCTGGTGAAATTTCTTTTTCGGTACTTTCTTCTTCGCATCTTCTTGAAACTCCCAAGTCTTCGAGCTCGTTTCCTAACCTTCTTCGTTTCATTGACTAAATTAATCGGAAGAATCCATCAACCCTACCAATCCGTACTTGTGATGATTTTGGTGGATCCAAAACGCCGCTGCCGTAGAAGTACCTGCGCCTACGCCTTCCTCCTATGCTGCCGTTTTCATTCCTGCCGCTATGGTCCTATTCCTATATTCAGTTAGTTGAATGGAGATGTTTTCATCCATTCCTTGGTTTTAATTTTATCATATTTGTTATGATGATATAGGTATAATTTTGTCTCAATACTTTCATCATTTATTTCATCTTATTCTGAAATCATCATTTTTACTTGGAGAAAGATTTGTTCAAAGAAAAAAAAACAATCGGAATAATACATCACTTGTGAGAATGAAATCAACTTTTCTCTTTTGTTATTACTCTTGTTTAGCTCTATACAAAGGAAAAAATAAAATTTATTATATGAAAACTATGCAAAGTCATGAGTTGAAAGCCGACCTTCGGCTGTTTGGAATTGAGGTAGAAACAAAAGGATGTGGGTGAGGTGGGTGAACGGTGTCTATCTTAAGGGTAGAACCGTGTGGGACTTTGTCCCACACACCGAGACTCACAGCTAATGAAGCGGTTGAGTCTCATTCAAGATAGGATTCGGTCTTGTTTTAATAACCAGAATGATATGCTTCTGGGCCTTAATTCTCGCGCCACGAATGGTAAATTAACCTCTCCTAAGGTCTATGAGCTGCTTAGAGTCAAGGGTGAAGTTAGGACTCCTACGAGTTTCATATGGAAATCCTACATCCCCTAAATTCTCGTTTAACGTGTGGTTGGCCTTGAGAAACCGGCTTCCTACACAGGATAGTTTCGGGTATCTCCATATTGTGAACCGATGTGACTTGTGTAAGGGTGGTTTGGAGACAATACCACACCTTTTTTTCCTTTGCCCCTTTACTTTTAGGGTGTGGCAGCAGATTCGGAACTGGATGGGACTACAACATGATATGACGACGATGCTTAGTGCAATAAAATGGATCGCGAAGACTCATAAGGGCTCAAAGTTGAAGGCTAAGGCAGCTCGCATTGCGTTTTGTGCGACTGTCTACTACATTTGGCATGCACGGAATGAAATTAGATTTGATGATGACAAAAAGACTGAAGATGATATTATAGCAAAGATCAAACATGTGGTGTACAAGATCCTCTTCAACATCTACCCGCATGAGTTGGCCATTTTCTAGAAGTGGATGCGAATCACTTTTTTTTGGGAGCCACGACACATAGTAGTTTAGCGGATTGTGTGCGTGCACCTTTATTTTTTTGAGTTTTGGGCCGCGGCTTTTTGCGCATCGACTTTTTTTTGTGAATTCTGTTTGATTGAAAAGCTTCTTCCAAACCTCTCCTATATGTATGTAACAAGAGGGGGTGGGGGGAGCTTTAAATTTTGTACCCTTTTTGCTTGGATGATATATATATTTACGGTTCATAAAAAAAGGATGTGTTTTTTCAGATTATGCCTTTAAAAAATAAATCAAGAAAAAGAGTTGCACTACCTTTTTCCATGTTTTTTAGCATTATGATGCGGAAAGTAATTCATTAAAATGCTAAACCCGCCGTACTATTGTAGCAGAAACAATATTTTAAAAGAATGTCTATCCACGTCACCCTAAGAGGGTGTCTATTTGAGTGATGTTTCCATTTTACATGGGGTATTGCTTAAAGTTATTTCTAATTACAAAAATACCCCAATTCAAATATTCAATGATGTCTACCTAGTCAAAAAACAACCAAAAAATCACCTCAGTAATTAGGCTCTGTTTGTAACCACTTGTGCTTAAATAAAAGTATTTTTTGAGAAAAAGTGATTAGTAATAAAAGTTGGTAGTGTTTGGTAAAATAAGTGTTTTTTTTGTGTAAAAGTTGATAATGTTTGGTAAAATAAATGCTTTTTTTTCTTAAAAAAAATAAAACCAAAATCACTTCACTTTTTTTTAATCGATTGAGCCCTTAGTCGTCTGTCTCCCCTGCGGCCAATCTCCTGTCCGGCAGCCTTCTCCACTTCTGCAATCCATATCGCCCGATCGCCAACGTCCAAGCACTCCCCAAGTAGGCTAATCCTCCACAGCTGCCTCGTTTCAGGTTTTCCCTCTTCAATTAATTTCCTGAAATTTCAATCTGAAATTTCAGGCGACGTCCTTTTTTTTAATTTCGCATCATTTAACCAAATGACGTCGTTTGGCCTTTAATTAATTTTTAAAAAACAACTGCTGGAACTCTGGAAGTCGAAAGAAACAAACGCCATCGATGCGCAGAGCTTGGTGTAGAAGAAGACCCTGGGCGGCTCAGAACTTATACCTATATATACATAATTATTTCCGGCGAAGTGGAGGCGCCCGCACGGTCTCGCTCCCCTGGTTCCGCCCCTGAATTAGGGGCTCCTCTTTGTATGCTATCAACTTGTAATTCAATTTTTTTGAACTACTTGTTAAGCTGTTTTTAATTAGTTTTATACATCGTGGATAGATTTTGGCTTAATTTTAAGATCTCGGTGTAGATGCAGAATTTAAGTCATGATTTTGATAATGAAGTAATAGAAGTGTCTAGCTATGGTGCTGTTTGGGATGTGAGAAATGAAGAATATTTCATTGATTTGATGGTGGCTGAACCTAACAAGGGGAATAGAAAAACCACTACTTTTACTAAAAGTGCTTGGACCCAAATCAGAGATGAATTTCAATTTCTGATTTTTTTAATCAACACAAAAATTAAAATGGTTTTCTGAAAAGTGGCAATAAAAAACTAAAAACAGTTTTTTGTTTTCTAAAAACCAAAAACATAAAACTCACAACCATACCGAACGGGTCCTAAATTATTTGCTTAGTTTTAACTTTTTAGGTACTCTATTACTTTCGTTTAATATTATGATATGATTATATAATTTTTAGATTATCAATTTGTAATACGGGGTGGACGGGTGGTGGGTCTTCAAAACGACCAAATGGAGAAAGTAACAGACAGAAACATCTTCGTGTGGAATTCAATCCAAATGGTATTGTGGTGATCCGGGATTACGTAAGCCTATCAACGATTTTGACAATTTCATTAGAGACCAACTACGAAGGGAGTACTTAACAAGAGGTCCGTGTGGATTGATTGGTCATGTTTACCTCCGAAAACAATATGGTAGAGATTATGGATCTTTCCAACCTACACGTTTGAAAAATTTCCACGGTGGGAGTATAGCATTTCAAAAGATGTCACTTTTTGTCTCAACTTGTTTCTTCTTCTAACAATGAATAATTGTCTAATGTACACGTTTTGACATATATTATGTATTTTTCATACTTTTATAATGATTTCAGTTTTGCGAGTTTTGACATTCCTTTTAGCCCCCCTCAAAATTTGTTCTGGTTCACGATATATTCTTTGGAAAGGAGTGCAGGCGTTTCAAGGTTTGTGTCTAGTTTACACAAGCTTTCAGGGATTACATTTAATGTTTTGGAAGTTGTGCCTCATAATATCATGTTAAATAATGTAAGAAGCTGTTTATTGTTAAGGTTCATGTCTCAATTTTTTGTTAAATTTCATATGGGGAGAGTTAATAAATTCTATACGATCCTTGGAACACAACACCCGCACACCATGTCTAAAAGCAACATGACGAGAGGAAAGTGGATACATGCTAATTTAACTAAAGTCTTTCTAAAACTTTGCTATGTAGTTAGCACTTAGCAGTATCCAAAACAATAGACTTAATTTTCATTTTGTGCTTCGTAAGTTGCAGTGAGCTAATGTTCCATTTTTTCATAACTCAGACAGGTAAGTAGCAGGTCCAGAATATGGGACTTCTTAGCATCATTCGAAAGATTAAGCGGAAAGAAAAAGAAATGCGCATTCTTATGGTGTATGTTAACAATCTAATATTCTTTTTTCGTTTTGTCTGGTATGGAGTGTGGATATATGTAGGAAAATGGTGTTTCAGACTTTCAGTAAAACGTAGCAGTTTGATTCTTGTTAGCTTTTTCAATAAGTGAAACACTGTTTGATAAATACAAGGTAGTCAAATTCGTGAGGCGCACTTAAGGTGCTAGAGTACTTCTATCGCCTGAGGCGCAAGGTGCAAAAATAGCGCTCGCGCGACTCAGGTCAAGCCCACTATTTAGAAAACATCATGTATACTATTAAAAAGTCATGTTTCTCAAAAACAAAGTCACAATTCACCTATATAAAGTCTCTGTTCACAAAAAACAGACCAAGTGATGTCTGGCTTAGCTGATTTTGCAGTTTTAGCACTAGGAGTAGCATAAAATATATAGTTTATGAAACTATTAACTGAGTTGGATTATATGAAGGTTTTATACCGTTATAATATGAAATGATAATAAGAAGATATAGACTTATAGACCGTATAATAAGATGAAATAATATCGAGTACATATAATGTAAACTGGTAGTCAGGTACACATAATATATTAATATGTTTGAGTTGTATACAATATATTAGAAGCAAGAAGAACTATAAAGAATGCATAAATGATTGGAACTGTTAAAACTATTAGATTAAAGAAAAAAGATAGACTGAAAGAATAAAATGAAAGGATCAACAAGATGACAAAACAAATAAAAACTACAAGCTGAAAAAGAAAGAAGAAATAACATGGGAAGATGAAGAAGAAGAAGACACCTTATGGGTTTCTGGCTTCTGTGGGTTGATCGTTGAATGCCCTCTTCAGGGCTGAGCAAGTTGCACAAGTAGTTCACAGAGCAGCATATGAGATTAACGATGAAGTCATAATAGAAGACTTTTACTACTACTAAATCTTATTATATATATGGGCTTGTTATTTGGATGGGCTAAGAAGGATTTAACATGGGTTTAAGTTGTTTTGACCTATTATTTGGATGGTCTAAATCTTATTATAAATATGGGCTTATTATTCAAAGTAGGACGAAACAGAAAAATAGGCTGATAAGCCTTTACCAGCCCATGCGACTTAAGCGTGTGCCTCAGACAGGGAGCTGCGTGTGGCCATTGTTCAGTCGCTAGGGCTCATATGCGCTGCGCTTGGAGCGCTCGCTTTTGATTACCTTGGGTAAACAGTTGTTCGGCCCTAGCATTTTTGGATAGAACGGCTGGAATGGAAATGCTGTAAAATGCAAGGTTTTGGACTAGCGTTTTGAAATATGGCATTTCCTACTAATGTCATGGCCAAGAAGCTAAATTACCAAACAACAAACACCTTCGCTAGTTAAACCCGATGTTTGAATCTGCTATTAATAACCTGGTAACTTAGTCCGCTATTCGCTAACTGCAAAATGCCCGTAATGTTTTTTTACGGTTGAAAGTTTGTTGCATTATATTCACTTCAGTTACTCACACCCCTCAATACTCCATCCAAACAAAGCATTAGTCCTACAACTACTTGGCAATTCCCATTTTCCGTCCACAGCTTTTTTCTACTTTTGGTGGATCACTGCCTTTCTTTTTTCATTTTGGGATGCTTTTACTTGGATTGAAATTTGTTGGTTTGGTCTATTTAAGTCTGGTCTGAACTGGTTTGGTTTGGTAAATGTCTGGTTTCTGTGTATTTTATAACTATGGAAGTTTGGTTTGGTCTGGTCTGTTTAAGCCTGGTCTGGTACTGAAAACAGTCCAAGTGAAAACATCCTTGGTCATCTCTGCACACTTCTCTTGTGAAAGTTAACTGGAAATTGAACGAAAATTGACCAGATCATAAGTGGCTAAAATTTATAGTCATGGGATTAACAGTGGGAAAAATAAAAGCCAGGGACTGACAATGAGAATAGCCTAGTAGTCATGGACTAATGGGACCAAATGAAGAATATTTTATTCTCATCATTATCATTACTATGTTATTGTTGTTATTTGTTTTTCAGTGGCTTGGACAACTCAGGTAAGACTACCATAGTTTTGAAAATCAATGGAGAAGACACTAGTGTCATCAGTCCTACACTTGGATTCAACATCAAAACCATTTCATATCAGAAGTATGATCTAGTTACTGCTATTATTTCCCCCATATCTACAGCTTTTTTTTTGTTTCCTAAATGACAAGTGCAAGTCCCTTGTCTGGATTACTAATACATAATCCTCCCATTCCCAAATTAGTTTCTCAGTTTCTCTGGGCACACTTATTGATAGAGACCTAAAACAATAATAGAATAAGAATAATATTAAGTCTTTTAATATTGTACAATAAAAGGGGTTTAGGCCCTATAACTAAATAGAAGTGAGCTGACCCATTAGAAAAAGAATAAATAGGAGTGTGGTGTGAGTAGAACAGGAGGAGAAATTCTGTTAGGCTTGGGTTTGGGACATGGGAGAGAAGATTGCTCTAAGTGTCTCACCGTATCTTTCTATTTCCTTCTATTTTCGCTACTGAAATTCTGAGATCATCATCAATCTACTAGTAATTACTGCTGCGTTTTGGGAGTCTCTATCATCTGGTATCAGAGCACTCACTTCCTGGAGGCAAGAGTCTGAATCGATCATCCTGGAGCATCAACGAGCTGCAGTGATGAAGGATGCACGACTTACTGCACCAACTGCGTCGCAGGCGACCTCGAGTTCGATCGCGAACAGTTAGGAGTCATCGACAGTCAGAAAGAAAGGGCTCAGCACCTTAGTTCGTTGTTTTTCCCAGTTCGCAGTCGTCAGCATCGTCTTCCTGTTCGCCAGATTCGCCGCGAACAGTATCTCCCAGTTCGCCGTCAGTAGCTGCTTCTCACCTGTCGTCAACGACCAGTTCGAAGTTGTCGGCTCTGTGGTCAAAACCACCTCTCACAATTCGTCGAAGCTAGCCGTTTCTCATCATGCTCAAGCTTCTTCAGTTTCCAGAACCCCAGACCAAGCTGAATCCGAAAATGGATCTCTGGGAACTTCATCGCGAACAATGAACTTTGAGTTGAGGTTGTCAGAACCGAGATCCCAGGTTGAGGAAGTCACAAGCGCAGAAAAGATTTATTATACGACTCTAGTGAAAGCTGTACCAAAATTTGTTGATTCATCTGAATCATATAAAAAACTAGATCAGGTCATTTATTGTATCAAACTTCCTGGACCTGCTTTATTGGGTGAAGGCATGGCACAGACAGTTTATTTTTGTAAGGGAGATCATGAAACAATTAGAAGGTGATTTGAAGGAGTGTTAGCGTGTGCTGAAACAGACTACTTATCATTTCCTTTGAGGGAGAAGTATGTTGCTTATGCTGAAACAGAGTATGGTCCTGGTGGGTGAAGGCTTTGTATTATTCTGGGGTGCCCTAGCAAAGCAATTGGTGTATAAGGATCAGATTATTGCAATTGAAGGATTAGTTTCAACTCACTCAGAGGTCAAGTCTGGGATGACAATAAAGGGCTGCAGTTTGGTACTTTTTGCAAATTGGGACTCCTCTAATTCTGGACTGAGATGGGCTGATGAGTTTGATTGCAGTGAGGTCTACAAGAGAGAGCAACTCATGGATTTATCTTTAAAACCAGGTATTGTCATTGGACTGGAAGCTGAAGGAAATTTTCAACCTTATAAAATGGTCTTATGCTCCAATGATCCAGAAGTGAATTGTTCCAGTTGTGTTCTTTTAATGGAATACAAGCAAGGTGACGATGTTGGAAATATAAAAGTGGAACCCTACTTGCTTGGAAGAATCGTTAAGGCTTCCTTCGCCTCACTTGGGCTAATAAAGTTGGATACAGATCCAGTCAGTGAAGCAAAGAAGTTTCAAGAATTCTTCTCTAATGGTCTGTTTGAAAAACAGCTTACGTACGCATCAGACCATAGTTCTGAATGGGTGTACATTGATTGGAATGGAATTCATCCCTCTGTTTCTGCTGTGGAACATGTGAATAAAAATGCTTGGCTTAATGCTGAGTTGTCTGAAGCTAACAGGAGGAATGGTTTTTGCCATAGAAATGATTTGGATGCAATAGGTACTGATTGTATAGAACAGATCCACAGGACCAGTATATCAGCTTGTAGAAATAGTGTGAGGGGTATGGTTGTGGTTGCTATCCGTTTAGGAAGAGTCTGTTCTAATTTGGAAGCTGTTCCGGGTTCATCCTCTAGAAGCCCATTCGAGGGAAGCACTGAAGAGGCCCCATCTACCTATTCATCCTATGATGATGACTACCAGAAACAGAACCTACTTAAGTGGCCTGGCAGTTCCGCTTTTGATTCTGAAAAGGGAAAAGCTAGTGATAGTATAAGCGCAGTGTGTGAAAATATACCTCAAAGGAACCCCTGCAATATCAAGCGGCATAGAAGATGGATGATATCAAAGATAAAGGGTGTCCAGTGGGCCAGATTTCAGCTTAGAAACACAGGGGCATAGAAGATGGCTTCAATGACTCTACTGCTCTAGTGTTTTTGAAGTTGGCAACCCAAGATGATGCAAGGGGTGTTGGCAGATTGATCGTTACAAACAAAAATGAATCAATATCTCCAAAAGGATACAGGGACTATACTAGCATTATTCTGTGGGTTAATCAACGTGTTGGATTGCAAGTGGCTGAAATCTCTAAGGGAAGTGGGCGGAGAAAAGAGAATACAAACTCTGAGTACTTGATGGTTCTTAACACACATGCTGGAAGATCTTATAACGATTTAACTCAGAATCTGATGAATAATCATTCATCAAGGGACTTTTTGCACTCTGGTGCTCTTTTTCATAGCTGCAAACAGAAAATGCTTTCAGAAAGTCTATTTGAGCTCAGGATGACAATTTTGGATAGCAAGAGGTTTGTAAAGGTAAGTGTGCATAATCTAGAGGAGTTGGCATATTGTGTCATTGCTTTTCGGAAAATAACTGAGTAGCAGGTTCACACATGGTTAATGGATGCTAATCCATTCCTTGCTGGTGAGGAGGATAATATTCAAAGTTGGCAAGCTTCTGGGGCACTGTTAATGGAAGAGGTGATAAATTTTTGTGGCACAGCAGGAGTAATCCTCCAAGGTGATGACTGCAGTGTGATGCAGGAATTACTTGGAGGGTGTGAAAATCCTAAGGTGAAGAACATGAAGATGAAGGTTCCAAGAGTGCGAAATATGAGACTGTGTGGAGGTACTGTCAATCCTAGATCAACAGGTGAATTGTCAAATGGAGTTGAAGTTTTTTTCAGCTCAGTATTTTCTGATGAGCAGATCAACGAGGATGAGAATGCTGAGGTTGAGGGCATGAAAACAAATTCTACCACTGCTGAGGTACTTGAGGCAGTAAAGGCCATCAATAAGGATGAAGAGTTAACAATTTATCACAACTATGTTCCTGTTTTTGGTGCTGCTGCAAATACAGTTGTAGGTAGTACATCTCAGGAAAGCCATGAAACATTTGTTGCTATTGAAGGCTGGAAGGCTACTGAAGAGAATGTAATTTCACTAGATACACCCTCTGTTGCGCTGAAACAATTGTGATTTTGAAGATTCAACTGCTGAAGCCAAATGTCCAGACAGCAAGGATACTGGGAAGGAAGAGGCGCCAAGATGAAACTGAATGGCATGGCTGTTTCTTACTCCCCACCTTGAGGACTAGGTGGTTATCAAGGGGGGAGTGATGATAGAGACCTAACACAATACTAGAATAATAATACTATTAAGTCTTTGAATATTGTACAATAAAAGGGATTTAGGCCCTATAGCTAAATATAATTGAGCTGGCCCATTAGAAAAAGATTAAATAGGAGTGAGCTGTGAGTAGAACAGGAGGAGAAATTGTGTTAGGCTTGGATTTGGGACTTGGGAGAGGAGAAACAATGTCAACTAAACTATTATTTGAGTAAAAGATATGGAAAGATAATTTGGGGACAGACGAAAAAGAAAAGTTGGAATATAATTTGGGGACACTGGGAGTATATGTTTTGTTATAAGTGGGTTTCCTGATACTTGATCTTCATGGTTGTCCACATATGATTCTATGCTTATAGAGAGTTGCCCAAAATGGGCACTACATATTTTTTGGGATTTCTCCTCCAAATCACTAGTATGTCTATCGAAATTGTGAGCATCAACATGTAGGTTCTAGATCCAAGTGGTAGTACCAAGACCTTTAGCTAGTGTTCTTGAGAAATGTCCTCACAATTTTGATAGCCATACTAGTGATTTGGAGAAGATATCCTGAAAAATATCAAGTGCCCATTTTGGACAATTCTCTATCATCTTTCTTTTGTTACGTATTTTCACAGTGCTCGTTTTTCTAACTTTGAAGCGTGGCTAAGCCAAAGAAAGATGACAGGTTTACACTTTACCAAATGACATAATAGGTTGAATCAAACGTGTGTGCTTTTGCGCCTATAGTCTCATTGTACGCAATATATTTCATGAGTTCACATTGGCAGGTATACACTAAATATATGGGATGTTGGGGGACAGAAAACCATAAGATCGTATTGGAGGAACTACTTTGAACAAACTGATGGCTTGGTGTGGGTTGTGGATAGCTCTGATCTTAGAAGGTTAGATGACTGCAGATATGAATTGCATAATCTTTTGAAAGAAGAGGTACACTTGGAGCTTTTAACCTGCCACCTCCCCCTCCCCATTTCACACACACACACAAGTCGTTACATTTGGCTTAGCCCAATTTTTTTTTTTGTTTTGTTTTTCTTTTTCAATGAAAAGAGAAGTATTATTATAACAAACCCAAAGAAAATACCTTACAATAAGTCACAACATGCTAAGCTTATCTAGTTTAATAAGCCCTCTAAGATTAGTATCTGTACAAGGATTAACAATCTCAAACAATCTGGAAGGGTAACAACCTTGTCTAAAAACAATTTAAACTGCAATTCAATCCACTTGACTGAGCTTCTCCAGAATAATCATAGCGGGGGTGCTTGTCTATGAACAATTCTTTATCGGGAGCAAAATGTAATGGCTTCGAAGGAGTCAGATTCCACAAGGATCTTCCCAAACCCTTAACTTAATAGACATGCTCAGCCCATCCACATAGCATTCCAGAGGATACTAACAGATAAGCATAGTGATAAGGGCTATAGAACCTTTCCTTTTAAGAATCCAGTGCATCACAGCTTGAATTGTTGAAGAGCAATTGTGCAATCCAATGATACTCGTTTTATTTATATAGACTAAAATGTGCAAATACTGTAAAAACCTAATCATATTTTGTTATCTTTTGCATTTCCCGAGGTACAATCAAACATAAAAAATAAATAATTACCCTTTTTTTTGCCTGTCCTTGCCAGTTTATTACCCCCTCCGTCTCACTAAGATTGCCCCATTCTTCCTTTTCGGGAAATCCACTAAGATTGTCTCATACCAAATTTAGTAAAATTTGTGTGGCTCTAAATCATTCTTACCTTTTTCTTACTTTATCAATTCAATATCAACCGCATAAATTCACTTTTCTTAATAACCGTGTCACCTTCTCTCTCATGTCCCAATGTTAGTGGGACGGATTAGTATGTTCTTATTTTGTCATGTTAAACGTGAGTGCGTTCATATATGTACAAAAAGTGTCTCACAAGGTTATAAATTGTAAAGCTATACATGTCACTAGTGTCACTGCCACTGCCAACACATGTTATTGTAACTGCAGTGAGAAAATTCCATCTTTTTAAAAAAGTTTTCAGGATAATATTCCGGTGGTGGTCGCCAGTGGCGGATTTCCGTGACTTTTCTAAAAAAATCTGATTTTTTCCCAGGCAGCTGGGGCAGTTAGGTAGATGCTGAAATGAGAAGAAATTTGAATAGATTTAACTCTATGAATGTAGATAGCCATATTTATGTTATTCTTTCTTATTTTTTAATTTGTTTTTTCTTCTTTTTTTCCGGATAAAATGTAAATAAATATATATATATATATATATATATATATATATATATATATATATATAGGGTAAGGTTCAAGTGAGAAGAACCCTTTGGGTGAGAAATGAGAATGAATCTCAGCCATTGGATTTGACTAAGTTGCAGTAAAAGACACTTCATGATGCACTGAAATATGCAATCTAGCACAGTGGCATTTCTGTAAATACTTCTTAAAAATCCGTATTACATGTGTCTAGTGCAACATGAAGCTATTTCGGTGCAACGCCGTCAAATATTAGTGCAACATGAAACAGTTTTAGTGCAACATGTGCAAAATTTAAATATTACTGCAACATAAAGCCAATTTTAGTGCAACTTCGTAAATCCAATGGCTGAGATTCATTCTCACACTAGATGCATTTCTCACCTGAACCAAAATCTATATATATATATATACATATATATATATATATACATATATATCCAGAAAGTAGCATAGTACAATGCATCAAATGTATCTAACTATCTAAGCCTAGCTATACTAACCTAAACAGTAATCAACCATTCACCCCCCCCCCCCCCCCCCACCTCCACCCGAAGGTGTTGGTCAGGGAGAGGAAATTTTATGGTCCAAAAGATCCAACAAAAAACCGGCTCGGGATAATTCCAATAGTAATCTCAATTTGTTTTTTTCTTAAACTACAAAACAATGACATTTTTAGTTACATAATATATTTGTGTATAGTTGTCATCTTCATTTTCGTTTCCAACCATCTATAATTTAAAAAGTAGATACCACCCTCCCCCTTCCCTCCCATCTAGAATTCCCCAACAATAGAATGGTCAACTGAGTAAACCAAATTATTTATTATTCCCAATCTTCTCTTATCATAGAGTATCACGTGATTTTCTTGCTTCGATATTGCTTTTGATTTGTTCTAATTTTTATGGCAATTGGCAGAGGCTATCAGGAGCGTCATTATTGATTTTTGCAAATAAACAGGATATACAAGGTGCTTTTTCTCCATACGAAATAGCTAAAGTAAGATGTTGCATGATCTGTTCTTTTCTATTCACCAATGTAAAAGTTTTATCGTGTGTGATACTGTGATGAGAACCCTGGTACTCTAAGAATCAATTCCACTCGGGATTTTTCTAAAGTATATGTCAAGAAGGCCAGGAAAGTCAATGAATAAAGGCAGATAGTGGCAAGAATAACTAACAGGCTGAGGTGGCAGTGTCAGACAGAGAGTGGCATAAAATTACCGTGATGAGCAAGTAAAGGGCAGCTGGAAAATTTGGTAGATCTGGGAGTGCGAGACTACTCAAAGTGTCTTTTCTATCTTTCTACTGTGCAATTTTCTTCCATTGTTGTCTTCTTAATCTTCTATATTGCTTCCCGACAGTGTAACCGTTACTTATTGATATATATAGACACACACACACTGTTTCGTGGGTGGCGTGGGTACTAATGTCTATCAACTGGTACCAGAGCACTGATCGTGGAACCTGTGCATGGTTGTGACGCGATCGATCATGGATCATAGGATGGATAACATGGAACGATCGTTCATGGATTTTCGATCCGAGATGGATATGAACATGAGAACCATAATGGATGCAATCGCGAACCTCACCAGTCAAAACGAGCGGAAGAAAATGAGGGGAAGATCAAGGACATCTCGTCGGCAACCTCCACTGGATAGCAAAGAGACTTCCCGATCCCGAGGCACATCTAATGAATCCCGATCCGTCTCTTTTCTGTACGTTCACACAAGGAATCACGAACGCATACACACTGTCAGGAAGGTGGACTTGCCCCTGTTTGGAGGTGACGATGCGTATGGTTGGGTGGTGAAGGTAGAGATATATTTTAAATTGAATCAAGTATCGGAGGAGGATAAAGTGGAAATAGTGTTGATCGCGATGACGGATAAGGCGTTAAACTGGTATCAGTGGTGGGACGAAAACACCACTGATCATTCCTAGGAAGATTTCAAGGAGGCCCTATTTCATCAATTTCAATCGGATCTGGTCCAAAATCCTTTTGGCCCAATGCTCAGCATTAAACAGACAGGGTCCATGTTCGAGTTGGTGGTAGCACCCCTAAGAAACACTGATCCAGAAATATTAAAAGGGGTGTTTCTGAATGGGCTCAAGGGAAGAGGTCCGGGCAGAATTGAAGCTCTATCGGTCTGATGGATTAACAGAAATCATGGATAAGGCCCTCCTACTCGGGAAAAGAATGTGACGTTACAGAGAAGTAAGAGCAGGGAGATGGACAAACGGGGGTGGAATTACAAGGGGGTCCAATCCTCCAAATTCCAGTACAAGGCAGAAGAACATCAAGGTAGGTTCCTGCAAAGTAAGCCCCCAATGTTAGAGAAGGGAGTATCAGACTACAGAACAGAAGGGTCCTCAGGAATGAATAAACCATGGAAAGAAGGACCCAGGTTATCTCAAACTGAATTCCAGGACAAATCTAGACATGGGCTGTGTTTCAAATGCATGGAGAAGTGGGACAAAGAGAATGTGTGGAAACAGAGGAAGACCCAAGTCTGGAAACTGAAGAAGTCGAGGCCAATGAAGAAGCATCAACTATACACTTGTCAATCCTGAGCAAAGAAGGATTGCATACACAAAATACGTTCAAGATTAAAGGCCAGCTAAAAGGAGCAAAGGGGCCGAAGTGGTTAGCTTGGGTTGAGTACTAGTACAATACCAATTACCATGCATCCATAAAGAACACTCCTTTCAAGGCTCTATATGGACAAGACCCCCCTATCTTAGTTAAAGGAGATGCAAGCTTAACAGGTGTGGATGAGGTGTCTAAATTAACAGCTGAACGAAATGAGATTCTGCAGGAATTGAAACCAGATGAAGCAACATGCCAACAAACATAGAAGAGACCTCAAATTTGAAGTAGGAGATAGGGTATTCCTAAAAATACAGCCCTATAAACTCAGGAGTTTGGCTAGGCGAATGAATCAGAAGTTGAGTCCTCGTTTCTATGGTCCTTTTGAAGTGGTTGAAGTGATTAACCCGGTGGCCTATAAATTGAAGTTACCGGAAGGTTGTGCGGTTCATCCGGTATTTCATATTTCTTTACTAAAAAGGACAGTTAACCCAAATATCCCTTGCCAACCATTGCCTTCTTGCATATTAGAAGAATGGGAGTTGCAATCCCAACCAGAAAGAATAATTGATGCGAGAGTTTCAGCTTCAGGAACTAGGGAGGTGCTGGTTCACTGGAAAAACCTACCCGAGTTTGAAGATTCCTGGGAAGATTGGGAGCTGATCAAGAAATAATTCCCTGAGCTCCATCTTGAGGACAAGGTGTTTTGTAAAGGGGGGTGATGATAGGCGTACTGCGGCAGTGCCTTATTCAAAATAAATCCTAATAGGGATTTTTCAAAAGTTTATAAAAGAAGGGGCAAGAAGGTAAAAGACCAGAGAATGGAAGAGACGACATAAAGTAACGGACTGACTGGAGGGGAATAGACGCACGGAAGAAAAGAAAGAAATAAAAACAGATGGAAGAAGGAAGGGGCGGACATTTGGGAATTGTTCGGAACTGGGAGAGCGAGATCCTCTCAGAAGATCTCATTTTTTATTTTCTGCTGTTTCGTTCCTTTATATTTCATTGTCCCCAAACTTTGATTTTGAGTTTTATCAATGTTTGAGTGTGTGGTCTGGAGTGCTGTTCTATCATGTGTTAGTCCTCATTGACTCCGGAGCCACCAATAATTTCATTTCTCAAACATTAATACAGGAACTGGATTTGGAGTATAATTCTAAAACCCGATTCCAAGTGGAATTGGGAAATGGGGAACAGATAGTGATAGGTACAGGCAAATTTGGCGATGAATGGTTGAATATACTGAAATTGAAGAACTGAAAAGTAACGATGCAGATGAGGCAAATTCGAGAGTGTCTCGTCTCTCCCAAATCCCAGTCCAATCCAAGTTCTGCCTACCTCCCCTCTACCTTCCTTCACACTCTTATAGTAATTATATTTTAATGGGCCGGTCCATATTTTCTGACATGGCCCAGAATCCTTATTTATACAATACTACACTTATTTAAGATCATTCTATTACTATTATTATCATTATTAGCTGACTATGTCCCTATCATATCTCCCCCCTTGAATAACCACCTTGTCCTCAAGGTGGGTGATAGGAAACAGCCTCGACCGTCAACTTCAACTTCATTCTGGCGCCTCTTCCTTCCCAATACATCCCGGGTTTCTGAACTTTTAACTTCAGTACTTGAAGCTGCATCTTCATGTTCTTCACATCAAAAGCGAACAGAAACAAAGTCTTGGTGGCAGAGTGCTCCCTTAGGTTGCAAAGGTTTGGATCTCCCAACAACTGCGTCTCTTCCCTATAGATTTCAGCCTGCATTATGTGTGTCCAGGGGGACTTAGGAATATCACAATCTGATCCCATGGTTACAAAAACAGAAACTTTCCAACACAAAGCATCTGCTTCATCTTCTATAAAATTCTTGTCGGCCAGCTTCAATTCCCTTTTAACCCCAAGCTCTTTCACACACATAACCCCAAGGTTGTAAAACCAAGCAGACTCATCATTGGCACTATCTTTGTCAAAGTTCTCTTTTACCAAGATATAGTTATTCTTCACCCCATAACCCTTCATGTAAAAGCATTCCATGTTTGAGTAATTCCTCCCAACTCCTGCTCCTCTTACACATATTTCTCCAAGAAATTCCCTTGACCTTACCTCGCCCTGATCAACAGCCTTACAAAACCATGATAATGCTTTGGCATGGACACACCTCACTCCCTGAACTGCTCCTTCACTGGATAAGCCTGATCTCTGAAAGTTCAGTTCATGCACTCCTGGCTGGTCCAATAAGAACAATTCAGTCACTTGGTTTGCCTTTTCGACATGCTTACTGGAGCTGCTTGGTAACTGAGATATTTCTAGGCATGCCTCTCCCTCCAAGTTACCGGTCCTTCCCTTCGCTCCAACCACCCCATGTTGAGGTTTGTTACTATAGCCCCCTTTTTCCTTCCATCCCCTCTTGTCTTCCTCTCGGTACTTTCCTCTCCTTTTCAGAAAGTATAGAAGTATACTTTCCTGTAACATAGCCCCCTTGATTAGAAAGTAAACAAGGTAGAAGATGGAAATGAAAACATCTTACTTAGAATAGAAGTTTACAAAGTATTTATACAGTTGGTAACTAATCAGTTATTCTAATAGAAGCCTTAACAGACTAAGTGCACAACATATTACAAAGAATACAAGTATAAGAGAATATCTAGTATTCCTAACATTCCCCCCTCAAATTGAGGATGATTGTTTTGGAAAATCAATCACACTCAGTTTGTCTCTACACTCAAGAAATGAAGATGCTAATAGAGGTTTGTCAGCACATCTGCAATCTGTTGGGGAGCTGGGATATGAAACAATTCAAGTTGCTTGAGTTTTACTTTCTCTGACAAAGAAAAGATCAATTTCCATATGCTTAATACGAGAGTGTAGTACAGGATTGTGAGCAAGTTGGACTGTGCTGAGGTTGTCACAATAAATTCTGGGGGTGAGAAAAGGAGCTTGAAGTTCTTTAAGAAGAAACTGAACCCATAAAATTTCTGATGAAGTGTCTATTAGGCTTCTGTACTCAGCTTCTGCAGAGGATCTAGTTACCCTTAGTTGTTTCCTTGACTACCAAGAAATGAAGTTAGGGCCTAGAAAGATGCATGACCCTGAAGTTGATTTTCTGTCTGTAGGATCTGATGCCCAATCAGCATCACATAAGGCAAAGATAGGTAGTGGTGTAGTGGATAAAGGAAGAGGTTTGATGATCAGCCCATAAGTAATAGTTCCAGAAAGATATCTGAGTATATGTTTCACAGCCTTCCAGTGTTCTTGTAAAGGTGCAGCCATGAACTGACACACTTTATTCACAGAATAGCTAAGTTCTGGTCTTGTTAGGGTAGCAGACTGTAGGATTCCAACAATAGATCTATAATGAGATGGATCAGGAAGGAAATCATTCCCTTCACTGGTGAGTTTG